ATGACTGTGATGCCCCCTCCTTGGGGGAGATATCTAGGCAAAAGAGATGCATTCCGCTGGTGAAGAGGCCTTTTCTATTTGTGTTCTGAAGATACAGCCCAGCAGTAAAAGCTCTTTTCTTTACATAAACATGGATGGCTGTGACATATATCAGAGGAACAGTGGCATATTTTAGCACTTATCCTGAAATGTAAATATTTCTCCCCTTAGGCGAGCACTTCTTGTTCGCATCTCCATGGTACCCAGCCCATTGCCTTGGAGATGGAGACTGGGGCACTTGTATGCCCCTACAGAGGGGCAGAGCTGAAGTCTCTTGTTAACTTCTCATTCAGTAGGGGCTTTTATGAGTGTAATAATCAGAGTAGTCTTGTGAGCCACCATCCCTTAAAGAACCCCACGTTTACAAAGTCTCTTTGTAAAACGTATGGACATCTTTACGTTCTGGTTTTTTAACTTTCTGATTTTTAGCCCTAAGGCACATCTTTCTCTTCATTTAAGGAGCAAATGGCTTCCACTATTCCATCCTCAAGTCAACTAAGATAGAAATCTTTTAAATAGAATTTAAGCGCTATGGGGAAGCAAAAGTATTAAAAACAAGTCCAAAGAAAGGCTTTTTTTTCTTTTTTTTATCCTACACATTGAACACATTCCCACATCTATGTGATTTTCTTTCTAAGCAGGCATTTCTTACAGTGGCCCATGTATCTCTTCTTCCCTGACCGTGACGGTATCAAAAAGCATCCTGTCCAAATTTCAGCAGCCCGTTGGCTTCTAACATGGGAACGTGTTATTCACTTCCTTTTCAAGAAGGTTTGAGCATTACGTTCTTGGAGAGAGAATATATATTTTAAATTTTACACAATTTTAAAAAATGAATGGTATAAATTATTCACTGATTTGCTTATTGACATTATTCATACAGTCATTCATTTAAAGTTAGTAAAGAAATGTTATGTTCTGTTATGAATGTCTGATATGTTATTGAGTGTGGCGCTATCTGGGCTGACAAATCAATCTGTTGGTTTTCTCTGTGACCTACTGTCAACATAATCCTGCCACACTCTCCTTGCTTTGCTGCCAGCCTGTCCCCAAGAGAGTGCCATGGCCGAAAAGTCATGTAGCTAGAAGGCCCCACTAACACTGAGTTGTCTTAGTCCTCCCTGTGATTACCGTCTTAGTCTGCTGTAGTCTGGGTACTATAACAAAATACCATAGACTGGGTGTTAAGCATTTATTTCTCATAGTTCTGGAGGCTGGAAGTCCAAGATCAAGGGGCTGGCAAAGATCGGTGTCTGTTGAGGGCCTCTTCCTGGTTCACAGATGTCCGCCTTCTTGCTCTGTCTTTACTTGGGGGAAAGAGAAAGCTCTGATCCCTTTATCTCTTTATAAGGGCACTAAACACATAATGGGGTCTCTACCTTTATGACCTCATCTAAACCTAATTACCTCCCAAAAGTCCCCCCCCAAATACCATCACATTGGGGATTAGAGCTTCAACATATGAATTTTGGGGAGACACAAACATTTAATCCATAGTATTATCCATAAAAAAAACCTTAAGAACTCTAGTATAACCCACTCAATCCTTAGCTTCATGAACTCTAAATATATATGTAAAATTCTAAATTCCTATAAACAAGACAATGAATAAGATGAGCTTTAACACTAGAAATATGTTCTCTGGCATTTTTTTCTATTTAACAACATGTGAATGACTTGCACAAAGTATAATTTGAACACTTAAGTAATACCTTTAGGAATCAAGACCTGCTAGAACTTTTGTAAGCATGAGGAGGAAGGGATATTTTCACTGACAATTTCCCCCAAGCTGGAATAAAACTTTTTTAAACTACAAATGTGTTTCTCCTTTTTCTTCTCCTTTCCCTTTATCTAATCTCTGCTTGATTTTTAAACTTCAACTTGATGAATGAAGATATATAAATGCACACTTACATGTTTGTGTATGTGTATGTCACAATCTGGGAACAGTCCAAAACAAATACGATTTTCGTAAGGCTTGTAAATTTAGTCCTGTGTTCTTAGGACTGAAGAGCTGGATGATCAGTGTTCTGTGTTAAAGATTGAGCCACTGCTTGCCTCCAGTCCATTGCAGTTCTGTAGAAATTTCAGGGTAGATGCATGTTATTGTTAAATTTATAAATGACGTATTCCCACTTTGGTAAAAGAGTTGCGTATCCCATGGCCTCTCGTGGATCCTCACTGTAGAAGAAGGTTTGCATTGAAATTTGCATGTACAGGACTGTTTCACAGCTTCATTCTGGTCCTGATGTCACCATTGTCATGTACTCCTGCTGATGTTGATTTCCTAGGCAACATACGTCTAGTATGTTAGCACAACTCTTAAAGAAGACTTCTGGTCTTTTTATAGGGGATGAAAATATATTTTTTAATGGACAATTGATATTTCTTTCCCCATTAACTCAATAAAAGTTTGAATGAAGTAGCCAGATCAAGGCCAAATACATTAGCTGGCTTTGAAATAGTTCTTTTTCTTCGGTATTGACACGCCAGGTGCTGTCAACGTCCTGAAATAGCAGAGAATCTCCTTTGAACCCCATTTTTACTTGCCATCAAAGATTATCAGTATTCACATCAGTTTTCCTTTTATTTCCTTCAGATTTTCTCTGTAGCCATTAAAAAAGGATTGTAATAAAAGGTATTTAAGAACTACATAGATCACATGTCAGAGCAGAAGAAAATTGTCTACTGATTTAGCCATTTATCCTGTTTTATTGCACAGAAGTTAGAAAAGGAGAGCAAGATGAAACCCAGCAAATGATAACACAGCTGCTTTCTGCTCTTTTTATAGTTTGGCTGTCACATTTTGTAATGAGCATGCAAATACTGCTTCTATATACCTCCCGCTGTTCTGTTAGCTCACATATGAGAGGGAAATTTCATCCATGTTGGGTTCTAAATTTCATAGTCTGATTTTTCTGAATATTGTTAAATCTTTTTATGAAAATGATAGCATAAAAGTTTTAAGGAGATGATAAAATAAAAAAATGAAAAAAAAAAACAAATGAAATAATTTTCCATTTCCTATTGCACTAGCAGTAAGATTCAGTACCCCAAGCTGGTTTCCTTGAGAAGCCAGTATTTCCCCTGCTTCATGTTTGAAGTCAGCAAACCTACAAAATGACTGTTCTCTTTTTCTAGTGCCGTCTTTCTATCCAGTGCAGTGAGCCAGTCTCAAATAATGAACCAGAGCAATGTGACAAGCCTGTTTCACTTTTAATTTTGTTTTTTCGTGTGTTGAGAAGAGATGTACTGCTTTCATTGACAGGCTGTGCACAGGTGCAAAGTCATCTTTGAACGGTTTAGAAGTGGCTTTGGTTAAAAGCACAAGAAGATTCCCACACTGAGTGTCTTTGTTATAAAGTTGAAATTGAGTGACACTCTCATTGAAAATGACCTTTAATGGGATGTCCCATGTCCATCCACGGGGTGTCATTCATCTCTGAGCTTTAGCCTTGACTTAAACTGAGCTATATCATAATTGAGAAAAAGAAGGCATGAGTTTTTAATTTTTCTTTTGGAAAATGAATGATGAAATTCTTGAAATTATTTGTTACAGTTAAATAACTTTATATTATGTCTAACAACACTTCCACTTTTACGTTACAAGGATACAAAGTAAGCCTGTGTTTTCTTCCAGTAAAATTTTCAGAACAAAGGAACTTACACAGATTCTGAAATGTAGTTTTGTTTTCTATTTATACGTATATATACACATACATATGCATATACATAGAATATCTGTGAGAAAGCTTAGTGTATGTCATTTAGATTGTATTTATTTTAAACAATCATTATTAAACACAAATAAGCAGTTAAATAACTTAGTACTAAAGGAATTAGAAAGGAATTGTTTTGTTTTGCTGTGATTTTCCTCAAAAGTGAATATGGGAATATTTTTTCTAAACATACAGTTTACTTCGTTTCTACCCTCCTTATACTCATTGTTTTTATTTTTCATAAAAGATAAAGGCTGTGTGTGATCAAAGATCAGAATCATTATTACAATTTTTAATATTTTTTAAATTATGAGTAACACAACAGAAAATTTGAAATATAGAACAAAATGAAAGATATAAACATTCTGTTAATAAGTTTTTATTATCATTGCAGGTTTTTTGTGATGCATTTTACTTGGTATAAAGCACAAACCCCATATACCACTTTGCATCCTACTTTGTTCATTTAACTTTTATCATAATAATTTGTCCAAGTCACTACACAATCTTCACAATTATCATTTTTAATAGTCTACTGATATTCTTTTGTGCATATAATCCATAATTTTTAAATTATCTAATTAATTTTTAATTACACATTTTCCTGTTATTCGTTAGATTTACTTCAAAGCAAACTTAAGAGAATTGCTGGAAGTCTAGATTTGCCTATAGCTTGTGTCAATGAATCTAATAAACTATAGCAATTTTCTCTCTTTTGCCCATTCTGTCATTTATTTGATGCCCATAGATGCAACAATAGTACTCAAAATCAAACAAATATGTATTTTATAAGTTATATACGAATTTATAACATTTAACACTTATGCGTAAGAAGCGAGGACATTTGTTACTAACTACTGTGTTATGCCAATAGTATGCCAACTGTAAAATATGCTACCTTGTTTAGCCTTCTTCCACCCTGCCCAATCAAAATTAATCCATCTTTTCTCCTTCCTTCCTATAGCAATGTGCTAGAATCATGCTCAGAGAGCTTATCCATTCTACTGTCAGTTACATTCACTTACGTATATACTCCACCCTCCATCATAAGCTCTCAGTGGGCGGGAATGGCTCTCCTATTTTTAGTGGCCCCTGGACAACTAATGCATTACCTACATGCAGTAGATGTTCACCAAATGTTAGGACTCGCTGCTTTTGTTTTCGTCTGTACTGTTGCAGAAGGCAGTACCGGGGAGTGTAATGATGTTAAAGATGTTTACTCTCTCATTTTTCTTCCACCAGTGGGATGGAGTAGGACCTCTTCCAGACTGTGCAGAACCACCAAAAGGGATCCAGATGCTGTGGCACCCATCAATAGTCAAACCCTACCTCACACTGCTCTCTGAGTGCTCAAATGCAGACACGCTGGAAGGGGCGGCAGGCGCCCTGCAGAACTTGGCTGCAGGGAGCTGGAAGGTATGACTAGTTTGTTACAATAAAAGAGAAATCTAGAATTATGAGCACATTCTTAGAAAGTAATACAAGTCCAATTTTGAGAAATGCAGTTCTAATCAAGTTTTTGAGGACATCAGAGAAAGACCAGTTACATTGAACTGTTGGACTTAGAAAGGTATTTTTTTTTTTTAAATTCTGCTTAAGGGCTCAGGGGTCCTTGAAGATCATTACAAAACACAGGTGAAGAGATGTAAGTATAGTCAATGAAAATGCTGTGATATGCTTTCCATTCTGTTTGTATAGCTGAGGTACTTAGTTTTCAAGGGAAATTGTGACATGTTGATGCTTTTCAAAGCGCTATCATTGACTGTTAAGGGAGCTAATACCTAAACACTTTATATAAAAACCCGTGTGAATCCCTATAATGTTGTAGCTCATCCTGTCTCCAAAGGAAAAGAACCTCTTGCGTTTTTAAATTATGGGCTTACAGAGAAGACTAGTATTGCTAGTCATCTTTGGCAAAAATGTTACGGTAAAGCAAATGTATGATTGGGAAGGAGGTTAGGAGGGCCTTTTTCTCTGAGTCTTTATAAACACACACTGTTCCACTTATGGGTTTTCACAGAAAATTTCCATGACCCTCATTTTGTGTAGAAAGGGATTGACCATAGCAAAGAATTCTTGAGTTTGGTTGCTAATAGTTACAGGAACTAACTTGCCTCATTGCATAAAAAAGTGTAACCTCTTAGAAGAATGGGAGCGTATAGAGAAAATATCAGGAGAGGAAGTTTGGACCTATACCATCCACTTTCCATTCATTTTATCAGAGCCTGGGGTTTGAGATATGCATAAATCACTCTTTTCTTTAACATTCATTTTCTTCAAACCAGTGTTAATATAGACGCATTGCTACAGATAATTCTCGGAATCTCAGTACCATAGGTACCATATGTACTGGCTTCAGTATTATCTTGTAACTATACCCTCCCTTCTTATTATACCTTTCAATATCTGCCTTCTTGTTACCTCTCTCTCTCTCTGTTATCATTTGTTTCCACTGCTACAGTCCCAGCTGCAGCACTGCCTTCTTTCTCGAGTGTGACATCCCAGCTCTTGGGGCCCAATCCCTGACACTACTTCTCAGGAGTTGGCTACTGATGCATGGGCCAGCCCACCCCTTCTTTAGAGAGTCTTAGGAATGAGCATAATTGTCCCCTTCCTCCCCTGCCCATAGGTATCCCTAATGTACTGAAAGAATTCGGGTTGGACTAGGCTTGAAGTGAAGTTGTCTGTTGCTTTCAACCAGAGAAAAGCTTCAAAAGTAGACTCACACCAGGCAGAATTCCAGACAATAGCCGTGCATGACTAGGAAAGAGATAATAATGGATATCACTTCCGTGAACTAATCCTTAGATCTTATCTCCCTCTAAATTTAGGAGGTTTGACTCAAATCATGATTCAAACCCAGGCTCTACCATTCCTGAGCTTCTTGACCCTGGGCAAATTATAGCACCTCATATGTCTCAGATGTGTCATCTTAAAACAGAGAATATTGTGGCTGCTTCATATCACATCATGCAGATCAATCACAACACTGGATGCAAAGATGGAAGTGGGATGTCATAGGCCAAGAGGTTGTTGCTATATATGGCCAAGAGTACTGTGTTGCTGCAAGTCCCTACCGAGCTCCCCTGACTTGGAGGACTGATTAGATGGGCCTGGGAAAGTGGGCTCTGGGCTGCAGGCCCACTGCATGAGTCTGACCTGAGGCACAGCGCCATCTAGATGGTGGCAAATCAACTTTGCCATCTTAAAATGTGATTTTTTAGTGAATTATTATTTTCCTTGAGAAATACTTAGATTCTTATCATAACAATTTAAAACTGGAGAAATGTCTTTGAGCCCTAGAAGATTTTAAATGTAAGACCACAACTTTTACTTTAAACGTTAAACTCTATATTCTATATGTTCAAAAAGTTAATCAGAAACATGGAAAACATATTAAAGACCCAAATAAAACTTCTAGAGTTTAAAGTCCAATGTTTAAAACAAAAAATACTTGGAAATGAGATTAACAGCATATTAGACGTTGTGGAATTAAGATTAGTGAACTGGACGACAGCAGTGAAAACTATACAAAATGATACACAGAGAAAAAAGAAAAAAATTTACAGTGCATCAGGGAGCTTCGAGTGGCCTGATGTATGTGTGGAGTCCCTAAATGAGAGAAGAGAGAAAAGAGGAAGAGAACAGAAAAAAATATTTGAAGATATAATGGTTGAAAACTTTTCAGATTTAGTGAAAAAGCATAAACTCACAGATCCAAGGAGCTCAAGGAACCCTAGGCACAGGAAACATGAAGAAACTATACCAAGGTACATTATAATCAGATTGCTCGACATCAGTAGTAAAGAGAAAATCTTAAAAGCAGCCAGAGGAAAAAAGACATGTTCTATAGCAAGAACTGCACCACATCTAAACACCAAGTTTAAGGATCAGTGTCACCAATTATTCATTTATTTGTACGAGTCCTTTCTGAGCTACTAAGAATGTCCTCTGGAAGAGAATCTGGTCTGTAAGCCCTTTGAGGACAGAAACCCAGTCCCATTTATTTCTTTGTACCCCACTGCTCAGCCCTGTGCTTGGCTGAGTGAAAACACTCAAACACAAGCATTTAACTGACATAGCATCTATAGCCACATGTCTTTCCTGTGGATAGCAATCTTTCATATTTATATACATCTATCAGTCACTAAGAGATTAAAAGCACATCTTATGACCAGGCCGTGTTCAGATGGTCACATTTTATGATTCTTCATTTGGTTCTTTGATTCAGATTGGAATATGTGGTTAATATAATATAAAATTGATAGAAAGGAATTATAGGAGAACTGTTTTCTTTTCTGTTTCCAGACTCATTAATGCTTTGCAGGCTGCAGGTTTTGATAGCTTTGCCCACTTCCACAATTCCTAGTGTTGAACTTTCTGTTTAAATTATGAGGCTCTGTGTCTCAGAGGTAACCAGGTCAGCTGGGAGAGCTGCTGAGATATGTCTGGCTCTTTAGGCATTTGGAGTAATAAAATTATAGGTTATAATTTATACTACTTCTTACTAATTTACTTTATACTAATTCATACTATGTTGGTAATCAAAAATTCTCTCCTACTTTTGGATTATATGAGAATCATGGAAGAAGTATGATAAAAGTTCTCAATGATTTCTGACAATAACGTCTTGCTGACTGTTTTCAGCGCATAAACCTGTACATTAGTTCAGCACAGTTATCTCCAGTGTAAAATTTATGTCTACATATCTAGAAGGCATTAATTTGGTAAATTTTTACATTACTAATAGAGTAGAGACTACCAAGAAGGAGGCAGAGGGTCTGGAACAGCTGAAGTCGATGTCACGAAAGCTGTTCTGTATTTTAGACAAAGTTTAATGACTATGACCATCGGATTTCCCAGTCCACATCAGATTTCAAGCAACAAATTAAAAAATGCAAGAAGTGCCTCTTATAAGCAGGCACATAGATCTGCTGTAAGAAGGGAGGGTAGATACCCTGATGGCAAAGAGAAAAGATAGAAGAGTTAGGAAAAGTAAATACTGGGATGCAAGAAAGAAAAACTGTCAGAGGCCATTCAACATTTTAGCTGTTTCCTATATTTTAATAACTGGTGATCATAATACTGACCCTCTGTCATCAAGAAAAGGTTAAACTATTACTAATAATTTTAGAAGACAGAAAACATTTTAGAAAGATTTCTATCCTAATGGCTAAAGTAGAATTTTGACTGTCAGGATATCAACCTTACTTATAAGAAGCACTAGCCTTCCTAATAACCCAAGACAAATGAAATAATCCTCAGTCAGGGCAGGGGGCCACTAAGGAATATTTGTGTGTAGCTATAAATATAAATACTTATATAAGAGTTTTCTTATCAAAATACAAATACACAAGCAAGCATAAAAGTCAATCACATTATTATCATCTATTGTATAATTTATTAATTTACCATATTAAATGGTAAGGGACTATGTGGGAAAGGAACATAGCCAATCCATAAGGATGATTTGAGAAGATCATTTTTAAGCCAAACACTGATAAATTGTTATAATTTTTGAGAGATTGAGAATTACTTGTACAAAAAAACGAACAGAGAAATCCTTACTTAAAAAAAAAAAAACTGATTTGGGGCCGGCCCGGTGGCATAGTGGTTAAGTTCACATGCACTCTTCAACGGCCCAGGGTTTGCAGGTTCAGATCCCAGGAGTGGACCTACGCACTGCTCATCAAGCCATGCTGTGGTGGCATCCCACATACAAAATAGAGGAAGATGAGCATGAATGTTAGCTCAGGGCTAGTCTTCCTCAGCAAAAAGAGGAAGATTGGCAACAGAGCTCAGGTGCCAATCTTCCTCGCACACACACACACAGAAACTGATTTGAGAAAAACTCTTGAATAATTAAAAGATTGACTTAGGATACACAACAGCATCAAGTTTCGTCTGGATGTGTTACCATCTGAAATCTAGAGTTCTAAGAATGTGTTTTTATAGCAACTGTTGAAATTTAGTAGCATTTGTTTTTTAGTGTCCTTAACTTTTTATGACCCAAACAAAAGCAAAAATGTGGAAGTAAAACACCAGAATTTTGCATGGAGACAGCTTTTTATAGACATCATCATCTGAAATCATAACTTCTCTTTATGAGAAGATCGTGCACACTCTTTTTCTGTGACAAATTGACTAGCAAGAGATCTTCATAATGGTCCCAAACACTTATTAAACTTTAAAACACTCATTACTTGGTTTATGAGCATCAAAAAACATAATGGTATTATGGCAGAAGCAAAGTGATAAATATTTTTCATAGCCAACATGGGCTTCAATTACCTTTTTCTCATTTAAGTACAGTGATTTTGTTTGTCACAAAATATTAAAACAATTGTATATAGTAGGTTGACGATTTCCAAAATGTGAGGGAATGCTCTTTCAACTCCCATTTATGGGTTATTTCT